ATTCCAAGGAATTGAAACAGTGGGAACCGGTTCTCAACGAGAACCGGTTTTCGATACCCATCCCTATTTATAGGTTAGACTTTTTCCCAAATGAATCTGTTACGTCCACTGATCTTTTTTCTTCTCTGCTCTTGTTTGTTTGCAGGTTTGTTGTCACACCTGGATGCACAGCTGGAGTCACTTCCTCTTCATCAGTAGAGGAACCTTAATCCTGTGTTAGTAGGAATTCTGTGGTTAGATCTGAAGTCTATCTATAGCTTTGGTTTTCTTCTTTTTAAGTTACGTGTGAAACACTGAAATTGTGAAAATAAATCACTTTAATGCTGAGCCAGGTTTTGTTCAGTGGTTTGAATTAATGGAATGCTAGAATTAGTACATTTTTTGTTGCATCCTGTGCCTCCTAGACCAGAGGGTTGTAACAGAATCCATCATGCAAGATCGAATCCTGGATCGCATTCCTTGTCATAGCCTGAAACAATGACTTCAGACTAGGAACTGGAAGCTTCTGTGTTCCTCCCTACTAAATGCACGCTCCACTGGTTCCAGTACAGGAAACTGGTCTTTAAATTTGCCCTTCTCTTGTAGGTAGAACAAAGTGGACCACCTCCACTCAGGATAGAGGTAAAGATGTGAGGTTTGCCCTCACAAAACTGTGTCACCATATCTGACACAACTGATTCGCCTATCTCACAACTATGCTTCCTCAGTCAGGACTGTAAAATGTCTTTTATGATGGGACCTGATGTTGTTTGGGAGATAAAGTGTTACTCTAATCTCATCAATACACTTGTTAGATACATTAATTTACTCTCGAGTTTTAGTGATATTTGGTAGATCTGTCATCATCATTACATCATCAGTAATTGACAATTCGCCATCCTGAACATCCTGTTTGTAGAAGGCACACACCTTTTTAAAGATTTTCCTTGAAGTCTTGCAGTGATTGAGGACTTGGCTGATGAAAGCCGTTTCAGACTGCATTTCTTTTTTACTAATTCTTGGTAAGCACATAGAACATTGCCATACATCAAATTCTGGTTCTTGAACATGTTTCTTCTCATATTCTTCTACCTCTTCCTACCATCTAGCGCACACCTTTAGTCCCCACCTAAATAAATAGTGTCACCTTGTGGTGTGGCATGGAATTACAGCACTTTTACCACAGTAAATGATCTGATCATCCCATCCTTCCTCCTTTGATGTCTTGACGTATGCTCAAACATCCAGGTAAGTTCATAATAGTAGTGAAGTAGTGAAGGTTACAAATTATCTTCTTACAGCCTTTAACAGTGGTGTCATTTCTGTGCTGCTAACTCAGTACAGATTTCGATAGAGTTGACCATAATATTTTATTACAGAGATTAGTTGTTAAAGCTACAGAGCTGCAGTGATTTAAATCCTATCTCTGCACATGAGTGATTTGTTGCTTCCATAGCAGTAACTTTTCACAGGATGAGGTCTGCAGTCATTAGCTGAATTTTGGTTTTTCTCTCTCTGCTCCCTGCTGAGGTGACAGAGGCAGAGCAGCCGATGCTTTTCAACTGTTTTCTTTACTATCCATCCATCTTCCTCCACTTTATCCGGGGCTGGGTGCAGGGGCAGCAGCCTAAGCAGAGAAGCCCAGACCTCCCTCTCCCCAGCCACCTCCTTCAGCTTATCTGGGGGAACACCAAGGCGTTCCCAGGCCAGCCGAGAGATATAATCTCTCCAGCGTGTCCTGGGTCTGCCCCGGGGCCTCCTCCCGGAACACCAACCCCAGGAGGCGCCCAGGAGGCATCCTTGTCAGATGTCCGAACCACCTCAGCTGGCTCCCTTCGATGTGGAGGAGCAGCGGCTCTACTCTGAGCCCCTCCCGGATGGCCGAACTTCTTACCCTATCTCTAAGGGAGAGGCCAGCCACCCTTCAGAGGAGGCTAATTTCCGCCGCTTGTATCCGCGATCTCGTTCTTTCGGTCACTACCCACAGCTCGTGGCCATAGGTGAGGGTAGGGACGTAGATTGACCGGTAAATTGAGAGCTTCGCTTTTACACTCAGCTCCCTCTTCACCACGACGGACCGGTGCAGCGTCCGCATCACTGCAGCCGCCACACCAATCCGTCTGTCGATCTCTGGCTCCCTTCTCCCATCACTCGCGAACAAGACCCGAGGTACTTGAACTCCTCCACTTGAGGCAGGAACTCGTCCCCGACCCGGAGTGGGCACTCCACCCTTTTCTTTACTATTCAGTTTTAAAGAAAGTACTGATATGTAAAATCTAATGATATGTAACTGACGTATAGATTGGGCTGCAAATTGCACATTACTTCAAAAAATTATTCATACCCCTTGAACTTTTGCACATTTTATCATATTACAACCACAAAGTTGGATGGATTTTATTTGCATTATATGTGGTATACCAATACAAAGTAGCAAGTAATTGTGAAGTGAATTAAAAATGGTGTTTAGAAACTTTTTGCAAATAAAAACTTGAAAAGTGTGATGTATTTATTCATCCCATTTAACTCTGATAACCCTAAATAAAATACAGTGCAACCAATTGTAATGATAACATTTTGAAAATGTTGAGTTACTTCTTTAACACACCACAGTTTATTTTTGGCTCTGTCCCTCACACTGCCTTTACTAGATTACCTCATCTTAATTACATCTCTGTTTAACATGAAGACAGAAACATGTGTGTGAAACAATGTAAAGAGTATCTGCAAGAGATGTCTGAACCCTTACCTACTAATTGGAGGAAACTCATGAAACTAATTCATGAATGGATAAAATGAGAACAATGGTTTGACACCCACAAAGGTTAGCTTCATTTATTTTTAGAATGAGTGAGCACAAAAACATTTGTCAGACATGGGCACAAATATCATAATGTAATAACCTATAAATCATAATCAAGTCTTCAATCTGAACACAAACTAGATACACTTCAAAGATTCTTCATCCTCCAGATGTTCTTCCTGCTGCTCGTTATCTGATGATATCTGGATGTGAGCAGCTCAGCGCTGGTGCTCAGGGGTTTCCAGGAGAGTAATGGGAGTAGGCTGTGAGCCACTTCACGGGGCAATCCCTAAAATCAAACACAATGTGATTCGCAAGCACAGTGGAGTAACACTAACACCACCCACTCACTTTATGTTTGCCAGTAGGGATTTCTCAAACTCCCTTTTCTTTTCTATCGCCCCACTTTCTTTTTTTTTCTTATGACTTAAATATATATTTTATACGTCTTTCCCTTAATACCTGCTCTATCTGTAGGATTTGGGATTGTTTAAGCCTTTCAAGATGGTTTACCGTCTAGTGTCTATCTCTAAGTACTTCATAGTAATTTGTTTTCTCAGTTTTCTCTGCTTGTGCTCTGTACTGTGAAGCAAGTTACAAAGTCTGGCCTGTCTAGGAAAGAAAGCTGTAGAAATGCCAACCATGCAAGTTAACAGACTTATCAACATCACAACTCTATCATTAAGTTGGAAGTGGTGTAGTACATAATGATCTTTAATCTCAAACATCAGCTGCTGTTGAACAGGTTAGATCTGCAGCAAAAGCTGCCAGTATCAATATTAGTTCTGTAATATTGAAAGCCCAGGAAGTTTCCTGGACAATTCCACATTTTGCTTCAAAGTCTAGGAAGTGGTCCAGAAAGACCACTTTCAAAGTCAAAGTGGTCTTCCTGTGTTTATCATCTGGTGTCCCTATTTTTCTGTCTTCATGTCCGATGTGAATGTTCTTGACTCTGTGTCAGTGTGTTTTACTTTCATGTTTGACCTTCATTTCCTGATTATTCGCACTTGTGTGTGTTATGTTTAGCTGTGTCGTTTTCTCCACCTGTCTGCACTTATCTATAAATCCTGACTTTGTGTAGGCAGGCATATCTTGGGTCTGTGTGATTATTTTGAATTTCTCACTTTTGGGATTTTTTCATTGGTCTTTGCTTTTAACTCAATTAAATGCTTGATTTTGATCATGTCTGCTGGAGTCTTGGATTTTGGTCTTATCCTTACAGATCTCAACAGTTAGGACGTTTACTAAAGAATACCTCTTTTTTTTTTATTCCTCAGCAAAGCACAGAACAGAGGTGTGTAGTATAAAGCAAGATTTGGAATTATTCAGTAAATCCAAGGTGGTTTCACTTCTTATATCCACACATCGGTACGGTAACTTGTGTAGTAGACCAAACTTGCGTGATGGAATATCCACTCCTAGGGAAAGTTTGCAGCAGTACTGAATGTTTTCCACTTGTGAATAATATTTCTCAGTGCAAAATATTTGAAATTGGCCTTTTAACCCTTGCCAGATAAAAGGGCAACAAAAATTGCTTTTTTAGGATCACTCGTAATGTTCTAGGACACAGATGAAATCTCCAGACCTGCACTGCAAACCTTCCTATTCTCTTCTCTTATATATGTGTTCACACTTACAGATGATTCATTAATGAAATGGATTTGATTAGCTGCTATTTAGTTTTTTATACGCTGCTTCTGGATTTTGGCTTAGTTTTTAAATATATATATATATATAATTACAGATGATTTGGTAATCATCTGTAATTACATGGTGTAACATGTGTTGTTCATCTGCAGTTGTAATTATCATTTGAAGAACTGCTAATGACCCCCTGATCGTTATTATGTCCTGATGTGTTCAGGCTGTCCTTTCTCTTTACCATGACTCTGCACTGTTAAACAATGGGTTGAGTTACAAAGCTGACCACATAGCCTGATTGCTAATGTTGGGATAAATGAAACAAGATAACAGAAAGTTGTCAAGAGTTTGTTAATTTGCTTCCTATTGTACACTTCTGCTCTCCTGTGTGTTCGTGTTGAAGATTTTTATACCGCTGATACTTCTGACCCTTCCTCCTTTGGTACTCCATTTCATCTACTGTCCACACAGCTCCCTTTCCTCCCTCCACTCGCACAAAACACTTGTGAAGGCTGAGGTTGTGACGCACTGCATTCTGGAGAGAGGATACAGATACAAGGAAACAGTTCTATCAACATGGAAGCCATGCTATTAAAAACAGTACAGTATAGTGAGATGTTCTGGTTGGCACAGTTTTTTCTTCTATGTTAAACTGTGTCCAAATGTTCATTTTTATTACAATAAAAAGCACTTGTATTCTGTACACGAGTAGGCATCACAATTAATATTTCATCCAAATAGTACAAACCTTCCAGGTGGCAGTATTATGTCTGAAGTAGAAGAACATGGTAGTGAACCAGTTGTAAATCTCATTCAGAGTACGCTGTTTGTCTGGAGACTCCAGGATAGACTGCAACCAGTCACACACATGGAAGGGTAAGCAGTGGCAATATTTGGCAAATTAGTCATAAATAGCTACAGTTTGCAGATAAAACCCGATTCCCACTGTAAACCTTTGAGGAAGACTTACAAAGCCTTGAGCCACCCTTCATTTTATATATATTTGGTAGGAAAATGGGAAATAGGTAAGACATTCAAAGCTCTTCTTTGGATGTTGGCTGCCTTTCGTTTGTGCAAAATATCATTTAAACCTGTCAAAGTGTGTTGCAACTATTGATGCAACTAAATAAATGGAAACAAACAATGATTTTGTGACAGGCTACAAAGAAAGTGCCTAAAGATACAATTTAAAAGCATGAAACCTTTTTTTCCAAGGTCTTTTGTAAAGTATCTGAATATGAGGGTAAGATGGCGCCGCCATTGCGTGCAATAGGTCGGCAGCCTTATGAATTTCCCCTTGTGGGACTAATAAAGGTATATCAAATCAAATCAAATGTTGCAGTGACTTGAAAAAAACCCCCACACATCCAGATAGTGTGTATAGAAGTGTATACTTTAGAGCAGGGCTCCCCAATCTCAGTCTACGAGGGCCGGTGTCCCTGCAGGTTTTAGATCTCACCCTGGGTCAACACACCTGAATCACATGATTAGCTCATTACCAGGCCTCTGGAGAACTTCAAGACATGTTGAGAAGGTAATTTATCCATTTAAATCAGCTGTGATCGATCAAGGACACATCTAAAACCTGCAGGGACACCGGCCCTCGTGGACTGAGATTGGGGACCCCTGCTTTAGAGCCTTGAGAAATCAGGGACCAGTTCAGATCAGACCAACTTCACAAATGAAAATAAAACATTAGACAAACTCACCCATCTTATCAAGTATGCATAGGTGTAAGGAGGCCTGATGTTGTTGTATTTGTAACACTCAATACTGGGAACCAAATCTATAAAAGAACAGTGGGCGTTTCTCATCAGTTTGTCCCATCAAACACACTTCTTTGGATAATGTGCTTTTGAAACATATTTAGAGATAAAACACAACATGCAACAAATATACAGGTACTGCACATTTCAAATCCATCCATCCATCCATCTTCATCCGCTTTATCCG